AATTTTGATACTGAGATATATTTTGACTGCAAGTTAGTACCAGTTTGATTCTTTCTGATATGGCTAGGGATATGCTAATTGACACTTTGAAAGTCATTTGACCTAGATTGTATTAATTACTGGGAAGTTATAGCAAAATCCTGTTTTGTGCATATCGTCGCGAAAGGAGCTTATTTCTGGATTTATACTGGAAAGTGTGATATCTTTTGACTGAAAGTGAATGCTAGTGAGATTTTGGTTGTGAAGTCATGGAATGTGATGTAGAACACTTCCAAAGAGAGGAAGAGAGGAAGATGGTGGAGGTGGACATGACGACAGAGAGGAAGATGGCGGAAATGGACATGGTGACAGAGAGGAGGATGATGGAAATGGACAAGAGGACAGAGAGGAAGATGGTGGAAGTGGACATGACGACAGAGAGGAGGATGATGGAAGTGGACAAGAGGACAGAGAGGAAGATGGTGGAAGTGGACATGACGACAGAGAGGAGGATGATGGAAGTGGACAAGAGGACAGAGAGGAAGATGGTGGAAGTGGACGAGAGGACAGAGAGAAAGATAGAGGAAGTGGGAATGACGACCGAGAGGAAGATGATGGAAGTGGAAACAGAGCAGAAGAGAGGAGCCAAGCCGAAAATCAAGATTCAAACCAATTGAAGGTACTAACATTTATTACAGATTATCTGTATATTGTTCTTCTACATTACATGTATGAGACATCTCTCCCATTAGGAAAATACTATCATAATTTGGTTTATGTATCCTATTGTGTTTTAGTTATGAATGTGAGCAATCTTGTCTTGTATTACAGAAACACCATGATGACGATCCTGTATACCCTGGTGCGCCCATCACTAAAGGACAGAGTCTGCTCTTACTCATGTCATGTCTGAGGCACAATTTGACAGGAGTAGCTCTTCAAGATCTTCTTACAATGTTTAATGAACATTTTCCTTACTTGGTGCCAGCAACCTCATATCTTTTTTATAAAGCGTATGGACAATTTGGCCAGTATGTGCCCCATTTTTATTGTATCAACTGTGAAAGCTATATGGGACCCAGAGAGACAGCTCCAACAAATTGTTATTCTTGTAATACTGAATTTGACATTGAGGTAAATTTAAGGGTTGGGTCTTATTTGCAGTCAAAAGATATCACAATATCAAAATTCCAAAAATGTAAGACATATACATCAAACAGGATTTTTGTGTTACTTCAAAGGAATGATTCCAAACTTCTTCAAATCTCTTTGGAAGTGTTCTACATCACATTCCATGACTTCACAACCAAAATCTCACTTGCATTCACTTTCAGTCAAAAGATATCACACTTTCCAGTATAAATCCAGAAATAAGCAGCTTTCGGCAAGTTTTGCACAAAAAAGGATTTTTCTATGACTTCACAGTAATGAATACAATCTAGGTGAAATTACTTTCAATGTGTTATTTAGCATATTCCCTAACTCGTCAGAAAGAATCACACTGGTACTAACTTGCAGTCAAACGATATCACACTATCAAAATTCCAAAAATCACTGAGATATACATCAAACAGGATTTTTGTGTTACTTCAAAGTAATGATTCAAAATTAGGTCAAATCACTTTGGAAGTGTTTTCCATTCCATGACTTCACAACCGGCGGCACGGTGGTGTGGTGGTTAGCACTGTCGCCTCCCAGCAAGAGGGTTCTGGGTTCGGATCCCGGGGGAACCAGGACCCTTCTGGGTGGAGTTTGCATGTTCTCCCTGTGTCTGCGTGGGTTCTCTCCGGGTTCTCCGGCATCCTCCCACAGTCCAAAAAATCTGCATGTTAGGTCTATTGGAGATTGGGGAAATTGCCCTTAGGAGTGAATGTGAGTGGTTGTTTGTCCTTGTATGTCCTGTGTGTGGCCCTGCGATGGACTGGTGGACTGTCCAGCGTGTACCCTGCCTCTTGCCCGTTGACCACTGGGATAGGCTCCAGTTCCTCCTGCGACCCCATGAGGGAATAAGCGGTATTGATAATGGATGGATAGATGGATGGACTTCACAACCAAAGTCTTAGTTGCACTGTATAAATCCAGAAATAAGCAGCTTTCGTAAAGATTTGCACAAAACAGGATTTTGCTATAACTTCCCAGTAATGAATACAATCTACGTCAAATAAGTTTCAGTGTTATTTAGCACATCCCCTGCCTTGTCAGAAAGAATCACACTGGTAATAACTTGCAGTCAAAGGACATCACACTATCAAAATTCCAAAAATGTAAGACATATACATCAAACAGGATTTTTGTGCAACTTACAAGGAATGATTCAAAACTTGTTCAAATCACTTTGGAAGTGTACCAAATCACATTCCATGACTTCAAAACCAAAATCTCACTGGCACTCACTTTCAGTCAAAAGATATCACACTTTCCAGTAGAAATCCAGACATGGGCCCTAGCCGTAGCCTAATGGCTAGAGCGGGCGGCCCATATGCAGAGCCTCTGCTCGCAAGCGGGGGGCCTGGGTTCGAATCCAGCCCATGGCCCTTTCCCGCAGGTCTCCCCCTCTCTATCTCTGCCCCCTTTCCTGTCAAGCTACTGTCATTAAAAGGCCACTAGAGCCAAAAAAACTTTAAAAAAAAAGAAATCCAGACATAAGCTGCTTTTTCCAAGAGATAAACAAAACAGGATTTTGCTATAACTTCCCAGTAATTAATACAATCTAGGTCATATAACTTTCAAAGTGTTATTTAGCACATCCCCTGCCTTGTCAGAAAGAATCACACTGGTAATAACTTGCAGTCAAAAGATATCACACTATCAAAATTCCCAAAATGTAAGACATATACATCAAACAGGATTTTTGTGTAACTTACAAGGAATGATTAAAAACTTGTTCAAATCACTTTGGAAGTGTACCAAATCACATTCCATGACTTCACAACCAAACTCTCAGTTGCACCCACTTTCAGTCAAAAGATATCACACTTTTCAGTAGAAATCCAGAAATAAGATCCTTTCGCCAAGAAATGCACAAAACAGGAGTCACGTGACACGCTTGGCGAGTATGGCTGCTTGAGAGTGAACTGCGCTTTCCCCCGTGTATATTTTTTGCCCGAAACACAACAGATAATCTTGGATAATATTTCTTCGTCGCTGCCATGCCAAACATCACCAGAAACTCGGCTAAACCTGCCTTTGGGGCTGGTGCGAACGAGGCGTGCGAAACAGCTAGCGCTAACCAAGCAAGCCAGAAGGCAGCGCCATCGCGCAACGACATTGAGGAGACTGAGGCGGCGGCAGCGAGGCACATTCCCGGTGAGGTGGCTAAGGAGTTAGCTAAGCTCTCAGCTCTTATAGTGGAGAAGTCTGTCGGACAAGATAAGAAACTGGAGGAAATACGGATTAGCACAAAGGCTACGGAGAGTAAAATAGCTGACATAGCTGATCGGATTGGTGAGGTGGAGAACCGGCTGTGCTTTTTGGAAGATGAGCACGAGAGGCGAAAAGCTAACCCGGCGGCCACTGCTGATGAAGTACTCCAGCAGAAGCTAGATGACATTGAAAACTGAGAACGAAGTGTAGTGGTAAGAAATATAGGTATTGCTATACAAATGGCTTTCAGGTGCGAGGTTCCGGTTGGGCAAAGTGGGCGTGGTATATAAGAAGCTGCTGCACTCAATCTGACACACATGTCTTCCTCAAGCTTGGGCTGTGATTTGCGTCTCAGGGACTGACAGTCAAAAAGCATCACATCAGGTGCATGCTGCTCTGATCTCGTGGTGGTAGGTCTCCCCTCTCTTTGTACTATTGCTGCTTGTTCACAGAAGATCTAAATCCAGGTGTGATCATAGGCAAAACGCTACCATGCGGCTGTCCTCCTCTTTTTGCGGCTCTCCTCCTCGTCGGCGGTTTGTGTGTGTGTGTGCGCACACATGAGTTTGTCTGGATTGGGAGGTAAGAAGTAACGCTCATTGTTAGCGCCAATTTGTTGCAGTTCTGTTAGTAGTGACTAATTAACTTTTACAGGTCTCCCCATATTACCATTGCTGCTCTGTTGATATCCCGGATTCTGCGCATCATCAACCTCGAATTGAAGCGGTGTTTGGCGTGCGGCACCGGCGCGCTCAGTTCACTTGTTGCGGCGCGGCCAGAGGGTCGCACCAGATTCGAATATTTTAATTTGTTTTCTTTTTTTATTCTTGTTCCAGCCTTTTTGGTTTGATATAATTATCTAGGCTGATATTGTTTTCTTTTTGTTGTACATTTTGGATTGTTGCCCCTATTAATTGTTTTTCTCTCTGTTGGCAGTGCTGAGGCCCGGCGGCGGTGTTGGTGTGGTGACGGTCTT